TGATTGGTGTTTGTGGATCAAACTGTTGCAAATGGATAGAACATCAGCATACCTGAGTGTGAAGGAGGAAGGTTAGAAAAGGTGTTACCTCTAAGCTCTCTGAGATCTGGAAACAGAATCTGTCAACTTCAGATACAGAAGAACAAGATGATTTCAGAGATAAGGTACACTAAGCATTGACTGTCATATGTTATGACTATGGTACCTTCAAAAAGTGGACTGTTCAAGATGCTAGTATTAATCACTGTGCAGATTGGGTATAGAACAGAGACTAAAATTCATGGATGACTTCATAAAGCATTGGGAATTGATTTGACAGAGGTGTTTCAAAGGCATTGAAGGCGGGAGAAGGAAGGAAAGACTTTACTGCAGAGCTGATAAATCTTACTGGATCTTGGCGTTGAGAGAAAGCAGCTCTCTAAACTGGAGCCAGTCTGCAGGGTAAAAAACACAGAAGAATGTGGCAGTTGTAAACTCTCAGAAGTGTAATCACTCCGAAGATTCAATTTAACGCATACAACATACACAATTTCCTCAGGATTCATCATCTTTAATTCTTCAGGGCTTGTCCTGTTCAGAGCAGGTGTTTGCTGACTAGATCCAGTTTCTTTCATTCTGGTAAGCTTCTGGACCTCTTAAAGCTGAAAATTGGCTTGCAGCCGTGCTTGCATCTTGCAGTGTTCCTAAGTACTTGTTAAAGCAGCTTTCTGCTGTATCTGTTGCAGAGTCCTCCCTGCAGTGTTTTCCCTTGTCATTCAATACCTCCCTATACTGGTATAAATAAGGTATTTTCACATAACTGCCCATTTTTAAATTTCATTTAGAATGTAATGGTAACATCAAGTACTTGATGGCAGAAAATATTACAGAGCTTCACAGCAGTTATTCTGTCAGTCTGCCCAAGCCAAATACCTCCTCTACCCAACCCACTAAAAAAACCCCAAAAAACAAACCAACAAAACTGGTTAATGTTTGCTGATATATGGACAATGATGGGCATAATAAGTATTTTTGGGTAAATAAGGAAGCTTGTGTGCCGCTGTAGTTGCCAGCTTCCTGCAGACCTACATGAAAGTACCATTTTTGTTATCCAGAAGCAGCAACGTGGTGTTAACTATCTTGGTTTTCCAGCACAATCGTTACAAATGTAGCAGTCCTGTTACATTAAGTTTGTTTCTGCCTCAAGAAAAAATTCTTTGCCCTGGGAAGGAAGTTGATCTAAGGAAAGCGTCTTAAGTTGGCTACTCAGTATTTCTGCTTAGGTGGTCTTAAAATCGATAAGAATAATGAAGGATACATATGAAACTGTTGGCATAGCAATAGTTCTGCAGAATTGGTCTTGTCTGTTGCCAGTCTGTCAGATACGTTTCATCCAGCTGCTGTTTATTCCACGCTGCTGTGATAGTGGATGAGGAGTTTGGTCCCACTCAGAGTAATCTGTTTGGAACTTGAAAATGCTGTTTAGCTGTCTGGTGGCATGGATCATAGGGATCACAATATTTTAAGGTACCCAAACATTGAAATGTGTGAACCTTAAGATGTCTTCTGCTGTAATAATAATCCCAAAATGTGTAGGGTGGAGTTTCAGATACGAAACTAAACTTTGCCGAGAAGCTAATATTTAGGAAGCTGTCTTTCTGGTGTTGTTGAAATGGACTGTGAACAAAGTAAAAGTGAATGTCATGTTTGCTCGTTGAAGCTAACATTGGAGGAGCTTGTCGAGGTGTGAATAATCCAATACAGAAAGCACAAAGGAGAGAGAGAATGAATACTCTTTTGCTTATCAGCAGGATCTTGAATATCCTTGAAGGTAAGGATGTAGCAGCTTTTCAGTTAACTCAGATTATACTTCAGAGAGGGTCTGAAGGTTTAATTCCTTTCCCTGGATCATTATGTAAGGCTTGGCTCTTTCTAATTAGCTTAATTCCTGACTAGGCTTGTGTGCACTAGATAATGTATTTCCCAAGGCAAAGCAAATAAGACTCGTTTGCCTAAATGTCTGTTTTTAAAAAAAAAATCCATATATTGTTAAAGTCTAAAAATACTTCAGTTTTCTTTATAATACAGCAGACTACAATTTAAATTATATTGAACCTGAGTTTTGTGGGATGTAGAGATCATTCTATAACAGGTACTGTGCTGCTTGACAAAGGAATGTTAACTGTTAGGGTAGTGTTATTTCTAGTGGTAAATATATATCAAGATTGAGGATGTTTAAGAGAACCTAATAAGAAATTTCCTACTTTCTGGGAAAAATAACATCTGCCAGACATGATACTGTTAAGTTACAGGGGTTTTTTTATGACATTTTATTTCAACAGAACAAATGCAACCTAGAATTGAGAAGGTGACACAGTAGTTATACTTAAGTAGCTAATAAAACACAGACGAGTATTACTTGTCTTTTAATTATCTGAAGTGTTTTAAGCAATCAGTACACTTTCCTTGAAGATAA